GGGGGGGGGGCGCCCCCCCAGCAGACCAGGGACACGGGGAGCAAAGCCGCAGCGGCGGCGGGGTGCCGCGCCTCTGAGGCTTTGCCCTGGCAAAGCCTCAGAGGTGCGGGACCCCTCCGCCTCCCCAGCTTTGCTCCAGAGCTGTGTCCAGACTCAGGGTTTTTTTCGGGAAAAGTAGCCTTTTTCGGAAAAAACTTCCCCTGCATCCAGACTCAAGCCGCGTTCTTTCGAAATTAAATCGAAAGAACGCGGCTTTTCTTTCAATGGCGGTAAACCTCATTTCACGAGGAAGAACGCCTTCTTTCGAAAGTTCCTCTTTCGAAAGAAGGCGTTCTTCAATGTAAATAGGGCTTCTTCGAAAGAGAGCATCCAGACTCACTGGATGCTTTCTTTCGAAAAAGCAAGCCGCTTTTTCGAAAGTTCAACGTGTAATCTAGACGCTCTCTTTCGAAAGAGGCTTGCAGTCTAGACATAGCCCAGGTGTCCCTGGTCTGCTGGAGACGGTCCCCAGCAGACCAGGGGCACCGGGAGCAGCTTTTCTCGCCCCCGAGGTCGAGGTGGCGGGACCGCTGCACTCTGGGCGGTCCCGCTGCCTGCGAGCTCCGGGGCGAGAGAGCCCCGTTCGTAAGTGCGGATCCGACATAAGTCAGATCCACGTAATTTGGGGACTGCCTGTACAAACAAAAACAGTACAGAATTGTTAAGAAGTTAAATCTCATCTAGACTTATTTCAGAATGAATAATTGTATTTAGTGACATGATATAGTAAAGCAAAACAAAAACCTTGGTAAAAGCTGTATCACACACCTGCCACCAGGCATCTGAATTTTTTTTCTCCTTAGTATATTTTCTTTTGTTTGGTAATGGAAGAGGACACTCAGTTTGAGGTTCCAGTACAACTGATTTTTTAGTATTAGATGCAAGTGTATAAACATTTCTACTATTAGTTGTACCTCCCATATTGTTTTTGGTTAATTACTACTTTTGATGCTTACAAGAAGACTGATTTGCATATTGCCAGTTAAGATAAGCATGAGTTCCTTTGTTAAATGTGGCCATCAGGTGGTCATATGAACACCTCAGTGAGGTTTGTTTTAATATTTCTAGAAATAGGTCACAATGTGACAAAATAGAGATCAGTTTAAAGGCACATTAGTTACATAGTATTACTAGTTTAAAAATATTTGAGCAATTTGAAAATTATTCTATGATCTGGGCTGTGCAAGAACAGTCCCAATGAATTGGTAATCAATTATCTTCAACTTGTTTGAAAAGTAGATATTCATATAATAAAGGCAAGGCATCAGCTTTCAATGCAACTGTTTAAATTATTATTTTGATGTTTTGCATAAGTTGTCATTTTAATAATTTTTTTTATTTGCTTTACAGAAAGCAATAGACCTTGCTAGCAAGGCAGCACAAGAAGACAAAGCAGGAAACTATGAGGAAGCACTCCGCTTGTACCAACATGCTGTGCAGTATTTTCTCCATGTCGTAAAATGTAAGGCCTAGTCTATTAGCTAGTTTTTAAAAATTGCAATAAATAGCTAAATTATATAACACTAATGCAATCTAGCTGATTGAATCAAAATGGAAGTTTTTCTCTGTTAAGTATTGACAAATGTTTTATTTCAAGGTACTAAATCTCTCTAACAGTCAAATTAGACTTGCCAGCTATATTTTAAGTGCACATATTGTGTCTCCTCTTCTTCCACCATGCACGTGCTCTTCAATTGCTCCAGTCTTGTAAATAGACAACCCTTTTGACATTTAGAAAGGAATCCGGCTACCAACATTAGATTTCTTCACAAAATTTCATGGTGGTACAGATGGAGAATGGAAAGGGTTAAGTATTTCCTTTTTATGTAGGGGAAAGTCAGGTGGTTTCTGGAAAACCGATCTCTATATAGTGTGACCCAACAGAAGTTACTGTCTTTTCTTGATGGTTAAACATTATCAAACTCCCATCTTTCATTCTTTCCACTGACAAATATATCAAATTCAAGCTGCTTATGCTTACCTTTTTAAGATTCTGCACAAAGAAACATACAGGAGGCCCCCGACTTGGACCGCCCAAGTTCTGACCCCCCGCACTCATCATTTTTGTAAGTGCAGAAGGGGCTGAAAACCCCCAACTTACTTCCTCAGACCACATTTACAACTGCGCACGGCGCCTATCGTAAATGAGGGTTTGAGTTATGACATCCCCGACTTGCTGCCCTTCCCACAAGTCAGGGGCCTCCTCAAAGTAGTTTAAGTGTGCGCGTGCGCATGTACGCGCACACACACTCATGCACACACGATATAATCAGCAGTTGGGCCATGGGACATTTTGCTGACGTTGACCGTCCATAGGCACAGCCCCCTCTCAGTGGCCATGGTTTGCCCTCTCCAGCCAGGGGGAGCTACATGAAGTGGCCGGGAACAATGAACCATGGCCACTGGGAGTTGTGGGGGCCATTTCTGGGGATGATCATCATAAGCAAAATGTCTCATGACCTGCCAGTGGATTATTCTGATGGGCCACTGATTGTTCACCACTGCTTTACATCCTTCCCTCACTGTTGTCTTCATGCTTCCTTCTCTGTTGTCTCTCATACCTGAATTCTTGCTTTTGCCTTTGTTGTGTAAAGAGTTGCTTTTCTGAAGTTAAATTTCACCTTAAAATGTGTTATTTCTGTCAAACCTGCGAATGCAAACTCACTCTAAGTTAGAAGTGATGTCACATAACCAATACAAATCTTAAATAACAACCCTGAATGATCAAAGGAAAGTTTGCATGTGGTCTTCTGTGTCTATTTTATGCTCTGTGAGGCAAAGGAATGTGTCTTTTTGTGTCTTCTGTAATGATGGCCACAATTTTGGAACTTGTATTTAGAGTCAAGCGTGCATGCCCTTTGTGTGCGTGCATGTGTGGGTGCGTGCCCTGGAATGCTTTTGAAATATCTTTTACTGAACCAGCTCCTGTTGGTGAGGAAGACAAGCTTTTGAGCTTACAGAGTTAAGGTTGGTCAGATTTTGTGTCTTTCTCCCTTTGAATGAGA